TTGTATCAAAATTCCTTGGGCGCCCCTTAACATTTTATGATTTTTTTCCTTACACATTTTGTGGTGACCCCAGTTAATTGGAAATTTTAAAATACTGACTAATGGGTGTTTGATAATCTGTTTAGTTCCTGATTAGAAAGAGTTATTTTTTAAAATTATGCAGAGACGAAATTATTGCGTCATTTGCGTCCTACTGCATGTGTTTTTTTTTACAGTTTCGAAACAATATAAAGCAGGGGTGGGCGGAATTTTACATGACACGGTCTACTTTTAATTTTTCAAGGTGTTGCGGTCCACTCTGTGGCGTAGGTGTGATAAAAAAAAGCTCAACAATATTTATATTTTATAACAATAATAAATACAAAATATGTATTTACCTATATAACTACAATAAAAAAACTACACTTTCATAACTTCATTTTAAGGAAAATACAAACATAATAATTATACCCACAAATTCAATATCAAATGATGCATTTATTATCAAACAATTTAAATACATCAAAAAATAAATCATTTTCATTTAAAGTTGGTTCTCGTAGTTAAAGTCTCAACAGAAGGCTTTATCTGCATGCTATCCATACCAATCTTGAATATCTCGGTATATAATTTCTAACTGTTAATCTTGCAATGAATTCTGTGGTCGTCTGTGAAACGGAAATGATACGTTGTTTTAATTATATCCAACGTTGAAAATGTAGATTCACATAGGTAGGTAGAGCAAAAGAACGATGTTAAATGAATTGCAGCTTTTTTGAATTAGGATACTTTAATTCGTCTATTAGATTCCAAAAGTTATTCTTTTAAAATTGCGTCCTTTTGAAGAAGAAAAATTTTGTGCTTCAAGAGAGATAAAGAGAATATTTAAAATATTTCTCTTTCCACTATTTTGCTTTGCCGAGCTTGCCTTGTAGTGTGTCAGCAATCATGACTCTTTAGACACCGTACCTCTAAAAACTGGGATGTTTCGGTAACACTTGCTCCAGCTAGACGGCTGCCACAATTTGAACTCTTTGAAAATCTGAAAGATCCAACTTTTTAGGATTTTGAAAATATCCAAGTCTTACAGAAGTCCAATAAAGCTATAACGAATCCTACCAGAATATATACATTTCTATTTATGAAAAATATCTGGTATCCATTATTATACTTTAATGCTTACAATGTGCATTCAAAAATATCGCTTTTATTCATGGGTGTTTCCAGTATTTTGATAACCACCTATGTTTCTTTTAGTATGCACGTCGAAGATTTTATTTGAAGGCGATCACCCCAAAATATCTTGGCGGTCCACTGATCGATCGTGATCGACTTAATGCCCACCCCGGATATAAAGCATCAGCATAATTGATGGGTGTTCCAGAAAGAAATCTCCCGTCTATTCGAAAATCACAGGATAGGCTACATTCATGACTCACCTGCACCCGTAAACTTTCATAAAGGGCTGCTTTTTTTCCTGTTCAAATTTGCTGATTACTAGAAAAGTCAGCTCTTTCGGAAAAAAGTGATAAACCATTTAAAAGAAATCTAATTGTTTCTAATCCAGACTAATAAAAAAAAATTCGGCTGTTGAAATAATATATTAATTCGGGGTTTGATATTCGTGAAACAGATTTTTTTGCCTTCATTTTAATAGGGCATCAAGAAAAAATCGTTAAATTACAAAACTCGTTAAATAGAAATTCGGTAAATCAAGGTCCACGAATGTAATTAACTTATTTTCCTTAAAAGTATAACTCAGTGTTTACTCAAAAATGATAATTCAATTTTTAATGTTTTTATTCACGTATCTCATTAGCCATCCGTTTCAATTTATTTCAATGAAATGTCATATTTTAAATTCAGAGATATAGTTTATGCAAGCGATTATATATATATAAGCAAACCGTCGATCAAGAACTACTATTAGATCACGGGAACATTTTTGGTAGATTGCGTTAATCCTCCTGTTGTCCTTTTATAGAGCTTGTCGCTGAAAAGTTATCTACATTTGCCATGGAGCATTTTGATTTTCAAGACAACGCTACATCGGAGTTGGTACTGATCAATTTTTTTTCAAAGTAATTTACATCAAAATTGCTTTCTTCAAGCTTTGACAATATTTGGCATTTTGATCATAAAGAAAAATGCACAATTTTGGTCCAGGTTTATCTAAAAGTGAAGGCAATGTTTAGCTCTACATATTTGTGTGTGTGAGAGATTTCTTTTTCCAGTAAGGAATTGTTTAAAAATAAACCCAGAAACCGATTTACTGATGAACACTTATACAACTGCATTTGAATAACAGTCACTACTCTACCAAAATTAAAAAAAGGAAATGGCAAAAAAAGAACTTGTTTGCTCACTGGTTTGCACATGTTCTTTTACACTAGAAATTTACACCACAAATTAAATGGCGGGGACTTGTGATTTCAAGGATTTTATTAGAGCGTTCTCCACACGCTCTTTCTCACACAAAGGTTACACATACACTGAACTCTACACACACTAGCGCTCTCTCGCGACAAATATTCACTTGTTATTGTAATATTCAAGAATTATTTGTTCAACACTGAACATAACTCAATTTTCCTTATTAAATTTAATAAGTCTAACAAAGAATATTAAATTATATTTGTTATTTATTACTAACTACACTACAATTTCTTCTTATATAAGGTTCAACTTCAGTTTCTTTTCGTTATAATAAGGCATCCAACTAGGTTCGGAGACCAATTTTTCAAAAATTGATTTTCAGAAAATTTTTATTGTTTTAAAGAACATAAATAGGCTTAAAGAGTCATAATTATTAAATAAATATTATGTACCACCCTTTGTTTTTAAAAAAATATTTTTTTATGAAATTTTAGCAAAACTTTCTAATTAAAAAAAAACGCCATAAATAAAAATGTATTGAACGCAACCCAATTTTAATTCCATTATTATACTTCCTGATCCACTTAAAGTGCTACAAACCGCAGGGTGAAAAATATTTTAAGAAATAAATATTTCATAAACATTTAATTTTGATGTTAAAGATTTTTCGTCAAAATTACTGTTTGCTCTAAGCTAAAAATTGCTCTAAAATGTGATTAAATGTAAATATCTTAAAACCCGCGGCTTTTTACACTCTAAAGGGCTCATAACATAAATGTTATAAATTTCATTGAATTCGATTGGATTGCTTTGGAGATGTCCCATTTTCCATACATAAAATATCGTAAGAATTTCATTCTTCAAAAATCACATTAAAAAATGCTTTTATAAGTTAGGTAAAGTAAGTGCTATAAAAAGGCTTAAAAAACTCTAGTTTTTTATATTATTCCTTCTTCCTCAATATTTATATTTCTTTTTTTCCTAATGGCCTTAACATTAAACACCTAAAAAACACTTTTTCAACCTAGCCGGATACCTTAAGTTTAAAATTTATTTCTCATTTTTACTATAAATATAAGTGTATAGGCAATAAGCGAATGTAAGATTTTGTTCTATTTGTCATTTATTACTAACTACACTTCAATTTCTTCTTATATACGGTTCAATTTAAGTTAATTTTTGTTACATAAAGTTTAAAATTTATTTCATATTTACTAGAAATGAAAATGCAAGATTTTTTTTAAAAAAAACATAATAGTTCTTTTGGTTGGTGCAATACGATTTCAAAACAGTTTCATAATCTGTTTTATACAATCGACATAATGAATAACTACAAAAAAAAATTACTTTATACGAAATTTTCCGTAGAGATGATCTTTACATAAATCAAACATTCAATTTTCAAAGGTTTTTCTTTTAAAGTTTTAGTATTATTATACATATTATTTCCTGTAATACAAAAACAAATATCAATTTAACCCAAATTAAAAGTATTGTTCTAAAAGGAGTTTTTAATGAGGTTAAGTTTGCACAGCATGGCTGTTTTTGTTTTACAACTGCTAATTGAAAAAAAAAACTATTAGCAACCATTAAATAGCATTTTTATTACAATAATCAAAATAAAGTTTGTTCAGAAGAGAGTATACTAGATAAATACGCTAAATTAAAATAGAAATTCTAGTGCTCTGAAAATAAACTTTACATAAACTTTTCACAATATATTTATTTTATTGTGAAGAGTTTACTAACTCATTTTTGAGTGAGTAGTAATTGTGTGTAAGCAAACTAAAGGTTAAACAATTGCTTTAAATAAACATGGACACTTGAAACCCCAATTGTAATAAATATTTTTTTTTGCAAGTCATTTTCATATTCTAATTATTATTGAACTCTACCACATTAGGAACAAAACTTCATCATTGTTTAAAAATAATTCACTTTAAAACATTCGTATTTGTAATTTTGATGAGAAAGTGGCTATATATATATTAACTTAATTTTGTATAGCTATATCGGATTTGCTTTTATTCGCATGTACTCTTATACTGTACTTAAAGACTAAAATGTGGAAAAACGAAGGCTAACTACAGCTGAATTTTAATCTTCGAAATAATGAAATGAAATGAAATAGGTATCTTTTTAAATAACCGTTATGGAACGAGAAAAAAAAATTTCCTATTAGACTAGAAATAAATAAGTTCGTTAATCACTCAAATAATTCATGATCAAAACAGTACATTTACTGTTTAAATGCATAGGGCATTTGAGATAATGCTATCATCATTAAAAAACATTGACAACAGAGATATGATAATATTGCTTAAAAGTATGCTTTGGCCAATAACTATCTCAAGCGACATCGGGTAAAAAGTTGAAATTGGCTTATTTTTCAATTCCTACTATTAGCTCACTTTCTACATACATGCATATATATATATATATATTGTTCAAATTTTCAATCGTTAAATAAATACTTTCTTTTCATCAATTCAAGTACAAATACATTTTTTAAACTTGTAGGGGATGACATTTGATGTGTATATTTTTTCAAATATTAATTCAATAATTAAATTAAAAAATGAATAAATAGTAACAAATAAAAATAATAGTTTAACAGCATATATATAGAAAGAAAAAGCGCTTGTTTAACTGTAGTGCAATGGATAGCTCGTTGAACTTATAAACCAAAGGTCGTGGTTTCGAATTCCACCTGCGATGAATGTGATTTTATGAGAATGTGATTTTTTTACTATAATATTTCATTATAAAAATTCCATTTAATTGATGAATAAATAGTTACAATAAAAGTAGTCAAACACCATATATAGAAAGGAAAATCGCTTTCTATTTTGTCACTTAATATTGTGATTCTGTCAAATGTATATACATATTTATATTAATTGTAACTATTTAATAAAAAGTAAATAAAATAAAATGTTTCTTAGTTGACCTAAGTAAGAATTGACTTAATTTTTTTTAATATTATTTGTTAATTCGCAAAATGAAATGTATTACTTTTCAAGATTCGCCACTTGGAGTGCAGTTTTATTGATGGCGAATGGGCACCACAAAAAAGCATTGTTTCAGCAAACCTAGCATTCTTTAAATGAACATATTTTCACTGAATAAAAAATAGCTATATACTCCCTGTATAAATTAACTTTTTATATTAAAAAAATGTTTGTTTTGTAAAAAAAAGTATTAGAAAGCTTTAAAACCATTCTATTGAAAAATCGTTTTGTAGCCAAGCATGGGTACGTAAAGTGTAATTATTGATGCTTAAAATATATACCCAATTAAAATACGCCAAATAATCTTGAAGAAATAATAATGTTTTTTCAAGCAGAATGGAATTTTATATTTAATTAGGTTGTAAAAAGTTATCATCGAACAATTCAATCATGAAAATGTTTTCCACGTATCACGTAACAATTGCGATAGAAATTTTTTTTTTCTTATCTAAATATATGATTTAATGAACCTCATTAAGAAGAATTATGAATTTGATTCGTAGTAATAATCGAGAATAACATATTATTAATGAAAAAATTTATACAATTTAAAATGTAACAAGTAAAACTATTTTCTAATTATAGTTTATTACTTATTTCCGTTCATCGGAATACATAAGATTTTAAACAAGGCATAAGGAATTTTCTGGTATTATTATATTATTATTTAAGTAAAGAGGAAGAAATTAAAAGATATATTTTTATTTCTACTGTATTTCCTTCAAATAGAAATTTAAAAATTATGTAACCAATGAACATATTTTAATTGAAATAGAGCGGGCATATACATGGAAAAAAATCACGTAACACAAGATTTTGCGAACATTAAAGCCTTTCACTTGTTAAATAAATCTCAATTAAATATAAATAACCCATAATATGATCAAATCTTCCGTTACTATGAATTATGTTTTAAAAAAAATAGCCAAAAAATAAGCGAAAATTGATAACAGAAAAGCGTGGTGGGAAATTTGGTTAATCTTATGACTATAAATACATATTTTGAAAAATTGTAACAGTAAAAACTCTCTACTAAAAGAAGTTAAATAGAAGTTGATAGGGCAAATATGATGACAGTACTTTTTAAAGAAGGTTTCTTTCTTTATTGTTGAAGTAGAGCCAAGTATTCTTTTTATTTTAAACTAACTTCTAAAACGCCAATGACACAAGATTGTGCCATCCTTTTATTAAAATAGAAGGTGTAGTCATAACATCTCGCTCTTAACAGTCTAAATTTTTTACATCAAAAGGAAAAAAATCGATGTCAACTCATTCAATGATGACTATAGATAAGCTTTAAAAACCCAAAGTCGAACCGATTTTAAATATTTCAAATATAATTAACTGTTTTAATTAATATAAAATATTTTTTACTTAAGGACTTTAAGAAATTAATTAAACTGAAACTTTGTTTTGATTTCTTTTCTTAAAATTAAAAGAACTAAAAGCCATTAGCTGAAGTAATTCGAAACCCTTTGAGTCACATGAAAATTGCTCTTTTTATTAAAAACTGCTTAGCAGAAATATATATTACTGGGTTTGTTATATATTTATTATTACATAAGTATAATTTCCAGAAGATATAAACTATATCTTGAATATTTTTTTTGCAAAATATTTTGTTATTCTTTATAATAACTCAACTACACACAAAAACAATCTAAAACTTCAGTTAAAGCTACTGTTAGAAATATTTATTCATGAAAGTGATAGTTTTTAAAATATTGTGAAACAAATGCACAAGAAAACAGACCAAGAGACTTAAGCAAATATTTTCAATACTTACAATCACTTTTCATGTTATTTAAGAAAATTACATTATAATTCAATTTTAATATAATTATAACAAGCGCATACTAAATTCGTTCACTTAAAGTGATGCACTATATTAATAATAATAATATTTTTGAAACTTTGGATGTAGTTCATGAAAAATATTATTCTAACTTTTATCTTGAAAATAAAATAAGTTTTGGTGTTGTCTTTTCTTATATTCGAGGGAAATATGGAACTAAAAATATTTCACTTTTGCAAGATATTTTATGGTAGTCAGAAAGAATAGAATTTAATATACAAGTATTTGCTTATATCAGAATCAAAATTACTTTTTCTTTACTTAAAAATACTATTACTTTTAAAGCGTTTATAAATATAAGTAATTAACAGTTTTCTTTAAAAAAATTGTAATTGTTCCTTGTCACTAAAATTCAGAATACTTTGAAAACTTCCTTAATATTTAAATTTAGAATAATTAAATTAATGTATGAACAGTTGAATCAATCCATTAATAAACGAAAATAAGTGAGCTTCCCCGGTTCATTTTTTTTCCAAAATAGTACACAAAACACTTCTAATCCATGTTTGTGTGGGTGTGTTTGTAAAACATACAAAACTGTCTCTTGTTTTAAAATGTTTCAGCTTTCAAGGAAACTCATATCGAGGAGTGCTTTGAATTTGAGAATATTCCATCACATTTTATTGTGCAGCAAGCAAAAGCAATCAAAATGAAAAGTCATTGAAATATACTTGGATCCTGGAAACTGGATTCTGGAAATACTGGATGCTGAGAAGGCCTCTATTTCAGGAATCGTTTTTTGATGGTAAGTGACTGATTAGAATATTTTTCAACTAATTTTTGGTAAATTTGGTTTTAATCATATTTTTTTCTCTATTCTTTGATTGTTTTTTTATTTCTAGTATTTAACGGAACTTTCTGGAACAAAATAAATCTCGAACCGTAATAACTGCAAAAGCAACGTTTAAAGGTGGCATTTAATGCTAGGTAGCTATCCATCTTTGAGTTAATCGGATCAACATCTGTTTCCTCCAGAGGCAATAAAATAACGCCAATTACACCAACTGCTTTAGACCTAGGCGACGAAGGAAAAAAATATCGATTTAGCCCCCCCCCCTTCTCTACAACCATAAAGTTTCAAGATCCTGAACACGCCCGCCAGATTATAAGGACGATAAATCAAAAAAGTAATAAAGATTGTACATGTATCACTAAGGATTACCATTGTTTTTTTCCGCTAACTAAATTGGATTATATATCAATAATTTAATAAGAAGCTACTCAAGTATTTATCGTACTGTTTCAGAAAAATAAATAGAAAGTTGAGTATCTATTTTTAAAGGTATAAGAAATTTTTAATTCTCATATTGTTGATTAAAAAAAGGAAATCTGCATTATAACTTTATAAAAACAAATTTAATTGTACTAATAATATTAGTTTCAATATTCATAAAGGAATTGCAACTGATTCAAAAAGCTCTCGTGAATAAGTATTGTGCTTATAAGAGTTTCATTAAAGTTTCACTACATTCCTATACACCAGTGGTACCCAAACTTAATGTTCTCATGGACTTTTTTTATACCAAAATTTGGTCAAAACTCTAATTTAATGCATAATGGAAAAATAATAAATTTAGCTTTGATGTCCTGAATTGCAAATGCTGATGTGAAGAATAAAAATAAAGCATTATGATATAAGTATTAGTATTTATTCAAATTATAACTTGTGCATTAAAGTAAAATGATCTAATTACCTTAATAAGATTAAAAATAGGAAAGATTGCACTACTAAAATCCTAAAGAGAATCATTATGGCTAATAGATGTCTTAATAGGAAAATATTTGAAACTGCATGTATTCAAAAGAAAAAAAAACAAGATTCTCTTTTGTATAAAAGTCTTTTAAGATTAGTATTAACTTAGGCATGTGAAACTTGACCCATGTCTCGAACAGATGAGAACATGATAAGTATGTACGAAAAAAAGATTTTAAGATTTATTTTTAAAGGAATTCAAGAAAATGGCACGTGGCGAAAAAGATCAAATTCAGAACTCTATTACTCACATAAAGAATCCGACATCGTTAACTTCATCAAAGTACGGCGAATTAAATGGGCAGGACACGTTGTGCGAATGGACGAAGACCGCACCACTAAATAAGTCTTCGATACCCAACCAATAGGCACTCGGAGAAAAGGCAAGCCAAAAATGATGACCCCAAAAAAGATTTCTTAGTTTTGAAAACTAAAAATTAGAAAACACTACCAGAAAGCTGGATTGGAAAAGGCTTCTTGAGAAGGCCAAGGCCTACCCTGAGCTGTTGAGCCACTGATTAAGGAATTACCTTCATAACAGTACAAAAAAAATATGGTATTCTATATGGTATTATCAAGTTCTCTATATGGTATTATCAAGAATAAGTTATTGCGTTCACTTAAGGTATCGGTAACACACACACACACACTGTTGATTAGATGCACAACTCCTTTATACTGTCATATTTTAAGCAAATTATTGCATTAGTGACCAGATTTCGATCCTATTTAAGCCAAAATAGATGACCGAAGCCTCGATCGGCCCGACTTCCAACTTCCGACGATGGTCATTACTAGTTTATTTTAATTTTCAAAATGATGGAAATAGATTAAAATAGTTTACTTTACATTAAAACTTTCTCTTACGATGTCCTAGTACCCCCCCCCATTTAATTTTAATTTTCCACGGACCTCCTCAACAATAAGAAAGTCATCAGGATTCCTTAGGAACCACTTTGGGAACCTATGCACTACACCAGGGGTGTCAAACTCGTGGCCCGCGGGCCTAATACGACCAACAACGAACATTTTTGCGGCCCGACTGGTATATAGCCACACAATTATATATAATAAAATATCAAAATGTCTCCCGAAATTGGA